ACGATCTCGCAACCCTCACCTCCTCGATGATCCACGTCTCGAGTCCTCGACAGATGGACCTAGGCCGAAGATCTATCGCCCATACCCTGATTATCAGAGTAACGAGTGGAAGCGGAGTCACCGTGGCTCTTTCAAACCGTGCATTGGGCCCCGAGGGAAAGAAGTGACAGACAGCTGGGATGATCAAGTAAGCGCCTACGTCGGTGTTCCGAAAGGTGTGTATTCTGTTGTTTCCGATTCATATTTGATACATCGAAGAGATGCTGCAAAGCCCTGCCCATGAAAGTTTGTTGATCTCTCGCTCATTTGGGGGAGGGGGGGCGGGGGGAGGGGTCGGACACATACATGATACAAGGCAGCAGATCATGGCCGACCAGAGTCTCCAACTAATATTTGCATGTGGCTATAGGTTTTCCGACTACGATTTTCGGTTCCCACAAGGCAGTTGGCCTCGATGGGTCGCTGTCGTTTGATCGCTATACTAGGTACGGCGCTTACGGCTTCGGCGAAGACGAAACGAATGTCGAAAATTGGGTTCGGCCTACCAAAGTCAATTGGAACGATGTTGATTGGGGAAAGCTTCAGCAGAAATGCGCCGCGGACAATGCCAACCGGTTCGACGCGCAGTCTCAGGGACTGAACAGCCACGCCCCTGAGGCACGTACGGCCGTTCTCATTCGCTCTTACACTGGCAAGGAATACTCGGAGAATGATATCATCAACATCCGAGCGATGGTCTCCGAGCTTTCTCTCCAGTCAGGAGGAGAGTATGAGGTTGTATTGTTGACACACGTCAAGGATGACAGCATACCGATCGATGACCCGCTCGTGTGGGAGCGGCTTTTGCAGGAGAACATCCCTCGGGAGTTCTGGGGCATAACTCAGTTCTGGAATATGCATGAAGAGATAATAAACTATCCTCAGCTCGACCCCGAACTTATGGAGTTAGTATATCCCATGCTCGTCATGTTGCTTCCTTTTACTAACGTGGCACATAGTGTTCATCATTCACAATGGCTCTCCGTACAACAATTCGCCCTCCGGAACCCCCAATTTGAGTATATCTGGAACTGGGAAATCGACACCCGCTTCACAGGTCACTACTATGAATTCACCGACAGAGTTGCGAACTTTGGGTTGCGACAGCCACGTCGAGGAATCTGGGAGCGCAGTGAACGATTCTACATCCCAGGCTACCATGGCAATTATGACGAGCGATACCGATCGTTTGTCGACGCTCAGAGCGGACCCGGCGTCTGGGGCGCGATGCCTATGAGGACAGATACCGGCAAGGAGTTCGAACGCGAAGGGCCTACACCGCCCGTACCAGTAGCTAGCCAAGACCCTTACCAATGGGGTGTGGGCGAGGAAGCAGACCTGTTGGTCTTCTTGCCTATGTTCAATCCCATCAACACGGAATGGGTCATCCGAAACGAGGTGTTCGGCTACCTCGCAGCTAACACACCTCGAAGAGCTTCCTTGATCACCCACAGCCGCCTTTCAAGGCGGCTATTGTTGACGATGGACCGTGAGAATCATGCAGGTCGCCATATGAGCGCTGAGATGTTTCATGTCTCAAGTGCCCTTCTCCACGGATATAAGGGTGTCTCGGTTCCGCATCCAGTCTATTCAGATCGGTTGATGTCGAGCGACCGGGTTAATCGCTGGTTCAATTCTGGTGTCAACGGTCGGAGTGGGAGTACTATGGACAGCCCATTTTCCTGGGGTCGAGAGTCTCGGTTTAAGGATGTATCTTGGTACTACCGCGCCAACCTGCCTGGACGACTGTACTGGAACTTCCTGGGTTGGGAGAAGGACGGCACTGGTGGACCACAGGTATGGGACCGCTTCAGGCGACACAAAAGATGGCTAGCTGACGTTTCGCAGTACGAGGAGGAACACGGTCGACATTGTCTACCTTCCATCCTTTTCCATCCCGTTAAAGATGTTCAACCTGGATCGGATAGCACTCATTATGATTTCGATGCCGACAACGGGTTAATAGCTACACCGGACCAACTTGCACATATCAACTCACAAGGGCAGTAATAGCTCATTCTTTGCATTGTCAATTCATTCTGTTGATATATTTCTTTTCTTTTTCCCTCTTTTTTTCATGGGCCCATTTTCTCCCTGCGTACTTACTACACCTACCCACCACATACATACCTACCATGTTTGATACCAATGACTCTACAATCGGACCCTTTGTGTTTAAGATCCTGACATGCTGCTTCCTGGTAACAAGTATGGCAAAAGAATCCCCAAAGACTACATGGCACTTCGAAGCCTACGCGTGCCCCTGGTAAATTTGGCCATACTGAATAAACCCTAATTACACTCACTGATAGACATAACAACTCTAATATATACATTGTAAATCACATGCAGTTCTCTCGTTTCCAGATCCCAAAAGGAGCAGGTACAGTGCCCCGAAATTTGGCCCCAGTGATGCTTTATTCGAGGGCGAATAATCACTCGGCTACCGTGGCCAAGCGATGAGTCTCTCCCAACCGACCCTCTTCTTCAGATGGTACATGTTTATAGGATCGGGTTTTTCGAGGGCAAAACATGACATAGGCGGCACCCAGTCCACCGATGATAGTACAACCCCCCAGAAGGAGGATAAACAGACCAACCGTGCCGGTTAAAGCATCATGATGGTCAATCTCATCATTGCTGCTGCTGTCCGACGCGTCCTGGGAAGCTGCTAAAACACCGCTCGGATCATGCGGAGACGGGATTTTCGAGCCTACAAACCCGGCAGCTTGCCAATTGTGTGGGACCTCGCTGCGATGAACAGCAGACTTGCCCAAGGGGTGGCCATTGCGGTCTAAGGCCTCGGCAATGATATAATCCATGTAGCCATTGACGATGTACATAGTTTCGAAATCGAGTTTTTCGGCGTGGCCGATGAGAATGGATTCACTCTGCTCCTCGGCTTGGGCATAGAAGTTCCATCCGACAATATCTGTAGCACCGTTCCAGCTAACATATATGACCGTGCTCATTGACATGTTACTGGTACCGTAAACGGAGGCCACAACGTCAGGCGGGGTGAGTGGACGACCAACAAAGTCCGACTTATATGCGCGATACGTCGAGTAGCGATCTGAGACAAATCGGGCGGTCATCAGAACGTCGCCATTGGGGGCGTGTTCACTTTGATAGCCGAATTTACTCCAGCCAACGAAGGTGTTGCCGTTTGGAAGTGTTTGGGCGTTTCCGCGAAGACGCGTTAGTTGACCGTCTGGTCGGTTCATGCGTTTGATAACCCGCGCAGTCATAGCTAGCGTGTCTAGCTTGATGTATAGAACAGATGAGACTTCCTCGTCATTAGATGTTTCATCGGATGCGTTGTTGAGCACGGTGATGACGTGGTCGGTGCCATTCGATGAGACAAATTTCACATCGTGCTGTTTGGAGAAGGTGAAGTCCTGGTCGAAATTACTCTCTGCTCCGCCTAATCGCCATAGGATACGTCCATCACTACCACTGACGCAATAGATTGTGTTAGTGAAGCGCATGGATATAATGTAGTCACCTGCGGCGTTCTTATCAACCGCATTGGCGTGGACATAGTCCCAGCCTGGAGCACCCTGTGGCTGATCCCACGCATGAAAGAGATTTGACTCATGAACTGGAATGTGATCGACGCCGTCCCATTTGAAGAGAACATCGTTGGTCGCGATATCGTATTCCGCAATCCCTCCAGACACAACGAAGCTCTCATCCTCCGGACGGCCAAAGTCCCCCAATTTTACCAATGTAGGGCGATAGATACAAATAACAGCCGTCTTACCGCCATCCATGATGTTGAATTCATGCATATTGAAGTCATGGGCATCAGCAGGGGAAAGCAGATTTTTCTCGACCTGATAGTGCTTGTTCAAGATCACACCACGACCTGGATCCTCGAACTCATTCTCTGGATCCCATGCCACGACAAATGACAGGTGTGTCTCGCCATCCATATTGGTATTTGCGCGAAAGTCGAAAACGTTGCGGTCATCGAATTGTTTTGACCCAGCCCAAATGAGCATCTATGGAAGAATTTTATTAACTTCCATGTCACTCTTCTCCGCGGCACGCAAAAGATTACATACGCCATTGTCATCATAGATATAAGGCCCAACTTGGTACTGATGATACTTCTGAGTGGATGGTTCCCCCGTGATCTGTCCGTATGGCGCGACAAACCAGTATCCAGGTGCCTGACGCTCACGGTCATGGTGAGTTACGTCCCATTTTAATGCTCGTACGTCGGGAAGCTGGAATATTGATGATTAGTTTCTTCATCGGCAATTTTGTCGACAGGGCATCCACAAACCGACATGAAAGACAACAGATCATTATCAGGGAGTAGCGCTACAGCACCATGGCAAAGCAATGCTAGTAATGATATGAATAAGAACATGTTGGAGGAGTGACCATTTCGGTGACCGAAGAGATGAATCAAAGGCATAAAATCGATAGAAACCGAGTGATCTATCGGTTAAAGGATTTGAAACGAAGATGCGACGGTTTGCCGCCGTGGCGTTGAGCGAGTTGGACGATCAAACGACGCGCAGCCAAAAGTAAATGGGCCCCATAGTGGGATCCTTGTATTGTTAGGCCGCGACGAGGCAATGTGATTGACTCTTTCAGACCATGACAATACACATAGCGTTCTCCTATTGGAGATAATCGACTCTGCATCCGCTCTTGGCAATTTGCTTGTCGCAGCGATGTGGAAAAGGGGTTAATTTTCTTACAATGTAACTTCCAAGGTGTACTTCACCGGGTCCTTCTGGTGCATTACGTGTACCGACCTTGGCACCCGTGCCACCCGTGCCACCCGTGGATTACCCGCCCATAATCGTGCCAAGCGCCCAAAACACCTACCTGGGCGCCGGGGTGTATCCAGTCAACGATAATACCACTGAACGGTAAATCATAAAATTAGGTACCTTTTATATGGCATGCCCATACAAAAGGTATAAAGGATACCACCTTCATCATATCTAATTTTCTCAATCCCTTATATAGGTAGAGAAAAAATTATAGGTCTATACATGTTATTATAAAGGAAATTTAGTTCATTTAGTATTAATATTGATAAGAAATATTCAGTGTACTTAAAGTAATAGAACGTTTACAGTGACATACTTTGGACACCCCCTTCCACTACCGCCTTCCTGGAATAGCTATACAGTCTGGTATACTCGGCCTTTTATTGGTGGATACTGACCGGCAGAATCTGGGGTGCTCAAACTTTTGCTATGTCACTGCAAGTTCTACATACAACCTTAATACATAGGGCCGTTATAATACGCTTCTCACAATTGTATATTAATTAATCTTACCAGCGTAACGATTAGTACTAAGCTTCTATTATATATGGGCCATTTGTTTCTCCTTTAGCTAGATGTACTCCTTGTACCTCTTGTATAAGCATGCCATATAAAAGGTACCTCCGATGTATTTGTTCAGTGCCAATTACCGTTGAGTGGGGTGCACCAAGACAGGGTCGGTGCGTTGGGCGCTTGGCACGATTATAGCTTGTAAGCCACGTGTACGGAGTATTAGTACTTACACCTGGGCACGGCTGACCTTTCAACGACCCCGAAGAGATATTGAGGTTATCTAAGACTCAGGTCCACCTGTGGACTTTACTTAGCGAAAAGCGGCGAGGGCTGAGCACTAAAATGGAAAGGGAAAGCCAGACATTATCCGGTCTATACATTGTAGTATATTATCGTATCAAACCGGATTTAAGCCCGAATTATTGTCCGGACTTAGGAATTAAAGTCATCGTACTACAACACAACTGTGCATCCATCCTGGATAGATTATTAACACATTTAACCCCGCATCCATGGATATTGCCCGATATAAAGCAAAACCCCGGATCCTCCAAATCCTCCCGATCCTCATTTCTATACATCCGCTTGAATTTAGTTCCCATCATGTTAGCCCGAGCTGCCGCACCAAAGTCCTGCCTCGGCCGCTACCGCCTGTTGGCTCCCACTGCAGGTGTCAAGGTGAGCCCACTATGCCTGGGGGCGATGAACTTCGGTGATGGCTGGTACGTGGAATACCTACGTCCTTATACATATGTATATCCCAAATACGAATAACAACTAACAACGACGCAGGAAAGAACGTCTCGGCGAATGCAACAAAGAGACCACTTTCCAGATCCTGGATACATACTACGAGAATGGAGGCAACTTCATCGACACGTATGCATAGCACCAATCAGTCTTGAATGTTCCACAAGGAACCCAATCACTAACAAAACCAAAAAAGAGCCAATAACTACCAAGCCGAAGAATCCGAAAAATGGCTCGGTGAGTGGATGGAAGTCCGCGACGTGCGCGACCAAATCGTCCTCGCAACAAAGTATACCTCGCCCTACCGCACACACAACAAGTCCGAGATCCAGGCGAACTTCGTCGGTAATAATGCCAAGAGCTTGAAGCTGTCCGTCGAAGCGAGTCTGAAGAAATTACGGACGGATTATATCGACCTGGTACGTGCCCGTGCGCTTGTTTCGACTTACTTTTTGGGATATTCTTGCTAACAAGTAACTTCCCAATGTAGCTCTACGTCCACTGGTGGGATTTCAGCACCTCCATCGAGGAGGTCATGACATCGCTCAACCAGCTGGTCTTGTCTGGGAAGGTTCTGTACTTGGGTATTAGCGATACACCCGCGTGGATCGTGAGCAAGGCGAACCAATGTGAGTTTGACTTTTAGCCAGCTATAACCGTCATTTTCCCACCCCAGGCTCATCCCCTCGTCTGATTATCCACTAAACTATACCCAAATTAACCAAAACCACAGACGCACGCGATCACGGCCTCCGCCCCTTCTCCGTCTACCAAGGCAAATGGAACGCCGCCACGCGCGATTTCGAGCGCGACGTAATCCCAATGGCCGCATCCGAAGGCATGGGTCTCGCACCCTGGGCCTCTCTCGGCGGCGGCGCGTTCAAAACAACCGCGCAGCGGGAAGAGCTCGCGCGGAGCGGGAACCCGGGACGACAGAATCCAGCGACGGAGCGGGACATTGCGGTGTCGAAGGTGTTGGAGGTCGTTGCGGAGCGGCATGACACTGCGCTCACCAGCGTTGCGTTGGCGTATGTGATGCGCAAGGCGCCGTATGTGGTGCCGATTGTGGGCGGGCGTACGGTCGAGCATTTGCTGGGTAATATTGAGGGCCTTGGGGTCGATTTGTCGGATGAGGATTTGAAGGAGATTGAGGGGGCTTATGAGTTTGATGTTGGGTTCCCGATGAACTTTTTGTTCCGTGGGGATGATGTCCCTGAGGCGCATCCGGGTAATTCGTCTTTCTTGAATGTGGCGGCTAAGTTTGATTATCCTGATTTAGTGCGTGCACCTAGGCCGAAGAAGTTGGATGCTTGAGGGGTCTGGTTGGGCTAGCGACAGTGAACTAGAGGATCGATTCAACGTCGAGCCTCGAATGGTTCTGTTCAGATTAGTATTTCATTAGTCGTACAATGAAGTAACCGACTCGACGGCATAATCGTGGAATGACACTAAATCAAAAGAGATAAGACTTTTCCAAAAACAAATCCATTATATGCATACAGACAAGCGGACCAAGTGAGATTTGTAAAGTACATGGGCAAAGAACACACAAGGAAAACCTCAGGATCCGATATACAGTTGTAAACGAAACACAAATTTGGAAGCCGGAGATAAGACAAGAGGAAGAAATGCAAAGATAGAACCCTTATTTCGAGGCGGATGCAGTGGCACGAACACGACGGCCGAACTTCTCCAGCTCGCCGATGATACCGCCGCCAGACAAGCTCCACTTCTCGCTCACCCACTGGTCATTGATGATCTCACGCAGCAAGCCGCTGCGAGCAAAATACTCCATGAAACCACGAGCCTCGTCGCGAGTGAGGCCGCCCAGCGTCTGCAACTCGACTGGGCTAACAGCCTTCTCTGCGGGCTGGAGAAGGTCCAGAACGCGAGGATCAGCATCGCTGTAAGCTGGTGGTCGCGGGTATTCCGGCGAGGAGGCGCTGATACCGGCCTGGCGGGCGGCCAGGCGGTCCAGGGCGATGCTGAGAGCCTTGGGGTTGGGGTTGTTCGAGGATGAGGTGGCGTAAAGGAGGAGACCGCCGTTCTTCAGGGAATCACCTTCCTTCAGAAGTGAGAGGAAGTGGTGTACGAAGGCGAGGTCATGGGCATGAATCGGCTTGAATTCAGCGGAGCGGTAGGCACTCTCGGTCATCCAGTGGGCCAGACCATCCACGGCAACAAGCATAGGAGGACGGGGCTGGAAGTCCTTCTCCAGTCCTGCGGCGGGGGCAGTGGCAGTAAGCTCAGTCCAGAGAGCCTGAAAGACCCGCCAGGAGACAGCAGGATCACTGAAGCCAAGCTTGGCGAGGTCTTCGAGGGTCGAGGAAGGCTTCAGCATCTTCAGAGCTGGGTGCTTCTGGGAGACCTTCAGGCTAGCCAGGAGCTCCCGGTTGGCATCGACAGTGCGAGTCAGCAGAGCCGAGGTCGCAGTAGGCTGGACATACTGCAGCGGGTTGCTACCTTCGATGGCGGCGTAGGCGGTTTCACCGGACACAAGCTCTCGGGCTACATAATTGACAGGTCAGCAGCTGCAAAATTGCAATATACACCAGCAGATAGTCCCACTTACCATCGGGAATAGTAATCACAGCCCACTTCTTCAAGAAGCCCATGGCCATAGCCTGCAGCAGGTGCACGGTCTTGCCAGACCCCTTCATACCCGTAACAATTCTCTTGACAACCTTGCCCTTCTGGGCATCATCGCCTTCCCCAGAGAGCTGCTGAAACAAACGACCCATCTCAATGGTATCACGTCGGAGGACCGTTCCAGGCCGGCGGAATATCGACCAGCCCTGCTTGGGCTTGAAGGCTTGCACTGCTCTCAATTGATCGATCATCGGCACAGGCAATCCCAGAACAGTACCACGGAGACGGGAGTCCACCATAGTCTCCGGGGACAGGTCCAGCATGCCCTCAATCTCAAGGGCGTTGGGGTTGCTCAGAAC